GTTTCACGAGTGACGAAAATGATTTTCGACGAGTAAAACATTATACTTTTTCTACGAACTCTATTATGTCATGTAGGTACCTACTAAAATGAAAAAAAACAAACGTTAGCAAATGCTTTATTTTGTGTTAGGAATAACAAAAAATTAACCAACAATTAAATATTTCAGAAATATTATTTATTATTTAAATATTGATTTATTGTTATATTTGAACAATTGTTCAAAATTATGGGGGTATCACACTCAAGCTTTTTATTTATTGAGGTAGATGCCGACATATTTGTTCTACTGTTAAATGTCATTTCAGATGATGATGCGCCATAATCGGATGAACTAGTAGTTTCCTTATTTTGTACAGATTGTAAAATTTTGGTTTGTATTTGGTTTTTACTGTTCGTGGATTCATCAACATATCCTTCCGTAACACTACTAGATTTCCAACCACCGTGCTTTTTTAACAGAAGCAAGTCACCTCCTGCATCCAGTAATAGCGTTGCGGATGTTCTGCGGAAACAGTGCCCAGTGTAATCTTGAGGATTCGGAAGCGTTAAAAACTGAGCAATTTCGTTAGGAAATTTACTGATTTTATTAATTCCAACAACCTGTCTGCTACACTTTCCATTCTGATATTTAATAAAGAATCTTGAATTAATTTGATCCATGTTTGCGGGACGTAGGCTCATATATTTTTTAGAAATATCATAAAAGGGTCCAGAAATATGAAAAGAACGCGGAACTTTTGTTTTTGTATTACGGATTTTAACTAACAGAATACTTCTAGTATCCTTTACATCGCTTATTGTTAAATCTTTTAGTTCGTGGCAACGACAAGCGCCAGATAATCCAAAAACTAATGCTACCTACAAATATAAGTAGTTATGTATTAAGTATTTGTTAAAATAAAAATAATAACTCCGTTACCTTTGTTATTAAATATTTATAGTCAGGTGCATTCTTTAGGAAAGTCTTTATGTCTTCAGGCGAAAAAATTTTGTATTTTTGGCTTTTAAAACCATCAGATTTTCTTTTCAAAAGCGAACGTAACTTTGGATATTTACTAATATCGACATCATTTTTAACAGAGAGTGTAGTTCTTAGCATCGAATAAATGGACCATAACGTCGACGGTTTAAAATTTGAACATATTTCTCCAAAGTATGCTAGTAGTACAGTTTCCGAAAATGATTTCACTTTATTTTTTCTCTCCAGTCCAAAAATTTGATATAAATTTCTTCATATCTCTTTTTTGATTTGGCCGGTAATAAATCTGAAGAGGTTTCTTCAGCTTTAAAAATAATTTCTGGGGGAGTATAATCGCTTTCTGACTCAGACGTCATGAAAATGTGTTAAATTTAGGACGAACTGAAACTGACAGTTCTCAAAAGTGATAAAACTTCAAATAAACAAATGAAAACCAGAAAACTAGATGTAGATTGGTTTAATTTGCACTATTTTTATACATTTTTATTTTATTTTTAATTCATTAAAATTTAGGTAAAAACCTTAGATAAAAGAGACCAGAGACATAACATACACCGGTTTTAAACCTGCGCAAATGTTGCTAATTTCTAAAGAAGGGTTAACGGAGTGGGGGAACTGGGCGGCGACACGCGGCGACCCGAACTCTGTGACAGGGACCGGACTTTGTTTATTAGCATCTTAATGAACTATTAGGTTTATTTAAAAGGTGTTTAATCGAATTTTGTATTATGAAATAAAATTAACGTGATTTTTTAATATCAAACAGATGCCACGACATTTTATGTAAAGAGAAGACCTTTTATAGAATATTTCGTTAGCGTTTATTTACTACGGACTTTTCTGCAAGAGATTACAGTAAAATGTTGAAATAGAATATATTGTTAATAGAGCAAAAAATGTTACTCATTGTCTACGAGTATTATAAAAATAGCATGTGCGCAGGCTAATACTGCAAATCTACCCTTATAAGTTGAACATTATATTTTTTCTACGGTTATTACATATTATTAAAAATTAGTCAAAATGAGAAAATGCTGTTTTGTATTGTAACCTCAGAAAAAAGTATATTAAGGCTTCTTTCTTTAAGAATATTAATTATTATAAAGGATGAGTCACATAAAACTCTAGAAATGCATATGTCTGAAACCAGATAACATTTTAAAATTTAAATCTATTAAAAGTCATTTGGTCGCCAGGGATGAGTGATTATCGAAATGAATTATCGATCATTGAAAATAATCGATTATTTTCGATCAATCGATTATTTTCAAACAATATATTTTTTGTCATTTCCTTTAAAATCGACTACTTGATTATCTTTGAAAAATCAAAAATAATCGATTAATTAAAAAGCCAATTAACCGATAAATCAGTGTTTACAAAATATAATATAAATAGAATTATCGTTTATTTTAAATAATCGATTATTTTCAAATAAACCATTTTTTTTGTCCATGGAAACAGATTATTCGATAATCTTTGAAAAATCGAAAATAATCGATTAATAAAAAATAATCGATTAATTAAAAAGTCGATTAACTAATAAATCGATTTAAATAAAAACAGAATGATCGATTATTTTAAATAATTGATTATTTTCGATCAATCGATTATTATCAATAATCTATTTTTATTGTATTTCCTTTAAAATCGATAATTCGATTATCTTTGAAATACCAACAATAATTAATAATTCCAAAATAATCGCCTAATCGAAAATAACCAATTAATTAAGAAGCCGATTTTATGATAAATCGATTTTCCAAAAAATAAAACGAATTATCTATTATTTTCTAATAATCCTTTTTTCATATTTCCTTTGAAATTGATTATTCGATTATCGAAAATAATTGATTATTAAAAAGCTGATTATCCAATAAATCGATAATTTTAAAAAAATAACAAAAATATCGATTATGTAAAATAACCGATTATATTCAATCGATTATTTTCATATAATATCTTCGAAAAATCGAAAATAATCAAATAATTAAAAAACCGATTAAACGATAAATCGATTATTTTGAATAAATCTACTTTTTTTGTATTTCCTTTAAAATCGATTAATACATTATCTTAAAAAAAAAACGAAAATAATTTATTAAAAACAGCGGATAAATCGATTTTCATTAAAAAATAACAGAATTATTGATAAATCGATTATTTTTGTAACCCCTATCGGTCGCTTGCTTTTATCTGATCATTTAGCTCCAAAATTTAGAGATTCAGATTTTTTGATCCAGTTATCTTTGAAATCGCATTCGATTGATTGTATAATAAATAAATATTGCTAAATTTTGGATTTTTTTTAGTAAACGAAAATTATGTTCGAGTTGTTTAGGGGTTTGTAATGTAACATTTTATTAACGTGACTAAGGGTCGATTCCACCATTGTGTTAAACGAAGTTTAAAATTACATTTTTACATTAACACTGTCATTTTAATCTCCGTTTAACACAACGGTGGAATCGGACCTAACTCCTGTAACTTTAGTATTTTTTTTGGGCTTATACTAGATTACTTTGTTTTAAGACTGAAAATTCAATGTCACTTTCGATTTGACCGCAAATAAGATGAACCTTGAAATTTTAAGTAGGTCATCCTGTATTTCATCTAATATTCTTGTAAAAATACCTTATAAAAATAAAATTTAGCCAGCAACTATGATTCTTTACCTCTTATTTATTTACCAAAAAGGGCTAAAAACTACCTTTAGAAAACATTTTTATAAAACTACTTTTTAAATACAAAATTTCGTTAGCAATAATGCCTATTTACTATTTATTTAAATTAAATGTTCAAAATTTTACCCTTTTATAAATTTATGTAATATGAAATCTGATTTTTGATGCTTAATATTTATTGAAACCCCTTAATGCGGATCTGAAGTATTCAGCCCAGAGAATCATGGCGCTTTATGTCAAAACGTTAATAAATATTTACCGCTGAAAACGAATATATTCATAACAGTAGTACTTGTATTATAAGTACATACAATTTTTCAAGATACATCGTGACATTTTGAACTTGAAATTGAATAACTAGAACACTTTAAATTGCTAAAATACCAACAAATAAATCAAAAAACAGCTGTCAATGGTGATTAAACTCAGGTGGAGGTGATCGCTGAATGGAAATCGGAGCAATTCGGGTGGCGTCATGCAACAATGATTTTCAATTGGTGGGTTACTTTGGCTTAAAATAGACAACATGCGCAGTGTGCAATGTTACATCTTCGGTCTCTTTAATCTAAGGTAAAAACGCATATAGAATTTGATGAGCATCTTTTTATTTCATTATTAATAATTATAAGCTGCCAAAATATTATACGAGGCGACTGATATATGAAAATATGTAACAACTTACTTTCGTCACTAGAGACGAAAGTAAACGTTATGGGATTTTTTCTCACTAGTGACGGAAATCAAGTTTTCGCTGAAAGTATCCTGTGGCGAAAGATATCTTTTTGTAAGAGTTCGTAGAAAAATAAAACTGTGTTATTTTTGATAATAATAATAATATATAATATTTTCTTTATTTCTCAATAGATAACGGAAAGTTAAAATGCCTAGTATTGCGGTATTTTCTATTCTCGTATAAAATTACCATAAGAACAGGTTCAAATTCCACAAATGACCTAAAGATAAAACTAAATTGCAGGAATACTTCTGCCAAATAGATAAAAGAAATAATTTTAGATTTTATTGGTAATACTTTACGGATTTTATTATAAAGGCAGGATTTTCTCTTTGTGTCGCGGTGTTCTAAATTACATTATTTACTGATACTAACTAAAAGACAAATTCTTCAATTTATTTATAATTTTTAATATATTCTAAATAATCATTTTTTAAAAACTATTAGTTCTAATTATCTTAAAATACCTATATAGACTAAGAGAGAATTTTTGAAATAAGAAAGAGTAAAATAATCTTAAAAATATAATTTGGATTTATTAAATGTATTTGTCTATCTTAAAAATAATAATTTCATTGACACTTATTACGAATTGTTCTCAGTTACAATGTTGTGGAAATCACAGACCACGAGACTGGTTGGATTTGGATCATCCTCAGCCTATTCCTTCTTCTTGTTGCATTAAAGAAAACTGTAAAACCGATAAAGAAGATCAAATATATTCACAGGTAAGAAAGTTTTTGTTTGTTTTCTTAACGGAATGCTCTATATTTTATTTAAGTTTTTAAATCACCTACTAACTAATACGGTATTCATTCAATCTCAGAATATTCTTTTGAGTAATATTACATTACATATTAAATTAATTTATTGGATTAATAATTTAAGATAGGTAGATTAGATTAGATTAGGAGTTGGACGTTATTTGTCCTTGTCCACCGCGACCTTTTCAGATCTATTGTGGGACTCCGTTTGTTTTGGAGTATGTCGTCTTAGACTTAGTAGCTTTGACAGTGGCTCCCGCATGTAGTTGCATGCAATTGGCTTTTCTTCGCCCAATGTTAGAAACCTTATTCCAGCCAAGCCTTTACATTGGCACAGGACGTGGAATGATGTTTCCTCTTCTTCTTCACAGAACCTGCACAAAGTTGCTTCTTCTACTGGATTTATGACACTCATGTGTCTTTTGAGGCGACAGTGTCCAGTAAGAAGGCCTACTGTTATCTTAACGATTTGACGTTTTTGATCCAGTAGGTCTTTCGTAAACTTGGCGCCGATGGTTCCTTGATGAACTGTTTGGCCTGTCTCAGTCTTGGATAGTTGTCTCACCATTCCTGAGACTCTTTTTGCATCCATTGTTTAATGGATGCCTTGCACAATGCCTTAGCAACTCCACAGAAGGGTTCGGGGCCTGTCATGGCCTTATCTGAGCCTTCTCGGGTTAATTCGTCGGCCTTTTCGTTGCCCTGATATCCCTCATGGCCTGGAACCCAGAATAAGGTCACCTTATTTTGACTACTTGGCTCTGTCAGGTCTTCTGATTTGATTTCTGGTGAGAGAATTGCCTTTAGAGCTGCTTGGCTATCAGAGTATATGGCAATAGTTTTGCCTGATTCTTGCTGATTTAATATTTCTCTTGCACAGTGTTGTATGGCTATTAGCTCAGCCTGGAACACTGTTGCGTATTTTCCTAAGCTTAGTGAAATCGTTGATTTCGACTTAGGTCCATAGATTCCAGCACCGGCTCCTTCCTTGGTTTTTGAACCGTCTGTGTACCAGACGAGTTCAGCCTGTACGGGAGGTTAATTAACATTAATTGTACAGTTTGTATTATGACTTATATTTACTTCAGAAGTTGAAGCAACTACATCTAGTGTTTCTGAATAATGCTTATTGCCTACATTCAAACCAGATACTATATCGCCAGAAATTAAGTTGGAAATTTGCTTCTTATTTTCGGGTATTAAAACGGAAATCGCCGAATTTACAACTCTCTTGAGTTTAGGAGGAGTGGAAGGTACTGAAATATTGCTATCAGTATCAAACATTTTGCGTTTTGTCAAGAACTGTCAAAATATTTTGTATGCATTGAACATTTCCATAGCACACGGTGAAATTGTTAAATAAATTGAACTGCTGTTGATTTTAGAGCAATAATATATTTATTTACAATTATCTTGTTTAATAATTTTAACGATTGCACGAATAATAGTGTGTATGCCATGGCCGCGAAACTTTTTAACGACCTCAAGATTATCTTGCCTCGGCCGCAAGCAGCCTCGGCGATAACTATTCTTTCGGTACGTTAAAAAGGTATTTCGCGGCCTAAGCATACAAATAACTATTTTTTTATAAAAAAAAAAATCTTTAAAGGGTATTTCATATCAACGATTTTATGTCTGTTTCGTACAATAATTTGTACTTCACCAATAAGATATTTGTAGAAAATACAAAGTGGCCCATCACATTCACCTCGGTTTTTTTACGAAAAGTGAAAAGAGTTTGAGAAAAACTTTTAGCAGTCATATCCATGAGTAGTATATTTCAAAATTATTTTGAAATATACAGGGTGGTTCAAACAAATGTAAATATCAAAGTCATATTTTTTCTTTGAAACACCCTATATTTTTTTTATATTTTTATATACAATAGAGTAGTGGTCGCCAACCTCTCAATGTGTTGAGCTACTCTGTTAATTTTGGAATAAACAGCGAGCTACTCACACGGAAGCCACGTAACGCAACGTAAATGAAATAATCCACAGTTAATTTATCATTATATATATTTATTTTACTATTTAACTGGTAATACATAATACATAGGTACTAATAATAAACTAATAACAAAATAACTAATATTACTAGTACGTACTTGTTCATAGCTACATTCCTACCTACCAAACGAAGGTGTTTGAAAAATAAACACAAACTTTTATCCAGCCACAACGGCATGTCACATAAGATTTAAAAATAGCTAATAATAACAACAACAAAGTAACGCACTATCATGAACATAAACATTGAAAAATAAAAAAGCCGTTCAATGAGAAGGCTGACACTCAGACTCATCGATAATTTTTTAATGCTTGCAGTATAATTTGATGCAGCCATTCGAATACAATTATCCAAATGTTCATCTGTAAGGTCGATATTTGTTCTTAATAAACTTCATATTAGAAAAAGAAGATTCACATAAATAGGTTGAACTGAATAATGCTTTCACTTTCAAGGCAATACGGCATAGAACTGAATATTTGTCTTTACTTACAATAGGCCAGATACATTTGGTACTTGCGACTAACGATTTTAAGGCTAAATCATTTTAAAACTTAATTACTTCCATTTCTGTTGCAGCGATGTCTTCGCCAAAGTTCTGCATAACACAAGTTGCAAACTGTTGGATATCAATTTCCATAAAGGGTGAAACAACAAACTGCAGTACTAAAGCCATTTCGTTGAAATCCTTAAAACGATTTTTGAAGTTATTCTTCATGGTAGAAACTATTTCTACATGATATTTGCTGTCATAGGGTTCTAATGAATTTTGAGATATTTTTTTCTGAAAGAATAGGAAAATGCTTGGCATCGCTGTTAATTAGGTTTTGTTCCCAAAACTCTAGCTTTTTGATAAATGCTTTTATATCAGAAATCATTTCCGCTTGTTCTTTGTCTCTCCCCTGAAGCTGCAAATTAAGTTCGTTTAATTTCTCTGTAATGTCCACGAGAAAACCAAAATCTCTAAGCCAGATTGAATTTTCTAGTTCCGGAGTCGGTTCATCGCGTTGTTTGAAAAATTGAATTATGCCAGATATGACATTAAAACGTTTCAGCACCCGTTCTCTACTTAACCATCGGACTTCAGAGTGAAGGAGTAGGTCCCCGTATTGACAGTCAACTTCATAACTTCATCGGCCAAGGTTTTGAATAATTTTCTTCGTAACGCTTGAGCTCTAATCTTGTTCACAATTTTTACCACCAGTTTCAAAACGTTGTTTAGTTTCAGGAAATTTCCACATAATGCTTGCTGATGGATAATGCAGTGGTAACAGAGAAATTGCGGAAAAGTTTCATCTTTACGACATAACGCCACCAAACCCTTATCACAACCCACCATAGCTGGAGCGCTATCGGTTGTCAAGCCTACCATTTTCGATATTGGAATTTTCTTGGAAGAAATAATATTTTTTAAATGAGAAAACAACTCCTGTCCAGTAGTGTGTCCTTTCAGTGGAATAAACTTCAAAAGATCTTCTTTAATCGTAAAATTACTAAAAACCATCCTGACGAACACAGCCATCTGGGCAGTGTCAATGACATCTGTTGATTCATCCAGTTGAAGTGAAAAATAAACACAGTTATCTTAGTAAGTTCTTAACTGTAAAAAAATATCATTGCTCATTACTTCTACACGTCTCATCACTGTATTAGCAGAAAGTTGCATAGATTTTATAGCTGAAACTATCTCGTCTTTATTTCTAAAATTGGCAAATAACGAATCAGTAGCTTCTAAAAACGCCTGTTTTATCATTTCCCCGTCTTCATAAGGTTTTTTTTTTGTGCAATTATCTGTGACACACGGTATGATGCTTCAGTTGCAGCCTTATTTTTGTCGACCATTCTTTAAAATATTGATTGTTGTCCAATTAACTGCTTTTTCAACTGTTTCAGTTTCTCCTTTCTGGCGGCAAAATGTAGTGGGAATGATTTTTCAAAATTAGAATGTACAGTTTTATGATGTCTCTCAATATTTCCTTTTTTAGCAACGGAGACCGAAGTATTACATAACAAACACACATTTTTATCTTTAACTTCTGTAAAAAGTAATGTTCTTCCCATTCCGAATGAATGTGGTATGTCTTTACCTTCTTACAACTGCTTGCCATAATATTATTTTTTGTTGTTCTCTACTAACCCAACCGCTGGACGTTGGTTACGCGTTCAGTTTTAAACTAAACGCAATGTTGCCGCGCCGTGCGTATTTATTCCGTTCAAAGCAATCCTGATCGTTCTGGAACACTAACGCGCTGGTCCGGCTGGTCGGTTCTAGCCGATTCTAGCTTGACGGCGTCAGCGGCAGATCGCTCACCGTAACGTTGCCGCTGTTTATGTTTAATATTATGACAATTAGATTTTTTTGTGGAATTTTCGGAAGCTTTTCTGATTTTTGCAGTTTGTATTTTTTAAATTAAAATCGTTGTGAGAGCTACCAGAATTGCCTCCGCGAGCTACCGGTAGCTCGCGATCGACAGGTTGGCGACCACTGCTATATAGTATAGACCAATTAAAGGTAAGTTACTGTTATATGTACCTAAAATTGACCGTTTCTGAGAAATTTTGAGAAATTTAAAATTATAAATCATAATTTAAAAATTGTTTTCATTCTGTAACATGTAACGAGAGAGTAGTAATTAAATGTACTGCTTAGCTGAAAGGTTAAAGTTAACTACCACATAAAAGTTTCAATTCAATATTATACAGAGTGGTGAAAAAAAAATGCCTCAAAGTTTGGACACACGTTTTATTAAGAAACTTCTTAAAATTAAATAGAACACCTCGTATTTAGTGGCCTGTTTTGAAACCAAATTCAAAATGAATACGTTGGAGACTCCGTTTAGAAGAATTCGAATATGATATTGTCTATCAAATATAAATTGCGGTCCGTTTTAGGTATAGGAAATATAACAGTAACTTACCTTTATTTGGTCTATCATAAGAAAAAAATATAACTTTTTTGGGTCACCTTGTATATTTCAAAATAATTAAGGAATATACTCCTCATAAACCCACATATGACCGTGCTAAAAGTTTTCTTCAACTCTTTTCATTTCTCGTAGAAAAACCGAGGCGAATGAAGTAAGTTTTTTCTACAAAAGATAACAATTATTGTGTTATTGTGAAAAAAAAAATAGGAACTCAATAAACAAAAGAAATTTACTAAAATTTATTTTTTTAGGGCTGCTACACGAAAATAGTGGAATTTTTAAACGCGAACGTGGGCATCGTTGCAGGGGCTGCAGTTGGTATCGCAATCTTCCCTCTTGTTGGAGTAATATTGTCTTGTTGCCTAGCTAAAGTTGTTAACAAAGCTAAATATGAACAAATGGCCTAAAAAGGAACGATGTGTATCTAAACGTAAAATGTGTTTTAAAACCAATTTCCGGGATTTGAATATATTGAAAAAAATATTTACCTACATTTTTATTTCAAGGCATCAGCTTGTTTATTTTTGAAAACATGGATGATCAATCTATATAACTATCTATTTAATTGACCCTGTCAAATCACCTGACCTAAGTGTTACCATATCATAGCCTATCATGTGTTTGTCAGTGGCTTGTCATTACCTATGGGCAACCATTTTGTTTGGAATGTTAAATTATATTATTTTTTTCTAAATCTAATTTCGTGGTACGCTTGTATCGACTATGCCAGTCAAAATCTAAATCATTTTATTTTACCCGTTGGGACTGACATTTTAAAAAACTGACTATAATAATAAGCGTAGCACATGTTGCTTTTAAAAGTAGAGTATTAATTTTGAACGACTTGTGCCGCGTTTGAGAATCCACATCGGATGCATCTGAGATGTTGTGAATTTTTTATCACGTGATAGAGAATTAGATCTGAATAGGCCTTTTCATCACAAAATTTTTTGGTGCGCATGCGTTAGCATCAGCCATCTTTTTCGTACTGTTTTTTTTGTAAACAACCATGCTAAAGTGTCTGCGTATCAAAATTAAAATAAAAAATATAAATTTTGGTTGATTAATTGTAAAAAAAGAGAAAAAAAATTAAGTTAAAAACCTCATCATTGAAAAAAAAATTTCCAAGCCATTGTAGTAATGTCGTCTGTACGAAAAGGAACAACAAAACGGTGTTGTTATGGAGTATGTAAAAGTGATACACGGTACAAATCATTCAAAACCAATACATATTATTTTATAAATTTTCCGAAGCCTTGTCTGGAATATCGCAAAAAAATAATTAAATCATCAAGCAAATCACATATTAAAGCATGTGCAAAATGTGCGAAGTGTGAATTATGGGTAAAAAAATGTGGCAGAAGTGATCGAAGTTTCAGATCTATAGATGATGTTACCAAGGATACTTATATTTGCTCACTACATTTTCTCGGAGAAAGTGGCCCAACTGAACAAAATCCTGATCCTTTAAGCTATCAAGAATCCCATCATATTGATAAATCAATCAATAAGGTAAGGTATAAAATAATTTAAACACAAATATGATTTTCGGAGTTTTAACCTCAAACCTGTTTTTAGGTGCTCAAAGAAGGAACCAGCTTATTTGAAAAGTATAAAAGAGTAAATATGGAAAAAGCAAGTGGATCTGAATATACGAAAGTAGATAATATTTTAACAGATACGCAGGTACAGTGTGAAATTATAAAAATGTATTAATTGTAATGAAAAATTTTTGTATTTATTATAGACATCAACAGCTCATGAAGAGGTTCACAATGTACTTGATGATAATGCTTGTTTTGTTGAACAAATATTACCAGATCAAACATCTGAAATGAGTATAATCGACGGAGGTACAAATTGTGAAGAAGCTAGGAAGCATACAAGAACAATAGAAATTCAGACCGATTCGATAAAGATGCGTAATAAAATTATTCAGGCTAAGTTGCAAAAGAATTCAGCCTTGGAAAAATTCATTAATTCTATTCGTAGTGATGAAAAAAAATGCATATTTTATACAAGTTTACATTTTGAGCAAATCCAAGCGTTACATAGATTTTTGAGCCCAGCTTGCGAAAACTTAGATTATTGGGGTAGTCGAGAGTCAAAGCATGAAAATATCCAAAATAATAGTAAACACAAATTAACATCATTGCAGCAGTTGATTTTGGTATTATTAAGATCACGAATGGGATATTTAATAGAAGATTTAGCCTACAAGTTTGATATTTCTACGGGATTTGTTTCACAAATATGTACAACTTGAATTTATTTTTTGTATAATGAATTTACTACTCAATTGAAGCCATTTGTTTCCATGTAGGAAAACAATAGCTGAAACATTACCAAAAATATTTCGCTCTATAAAAAACATAAGAGTAATTGTAGACTGTGCTGAATTTTTTTGTCAATCACCATCAAATTTTGAACACCAAGGTAATTTATATTCAAGTTATAAAGCCCATACCACTTTTAAAGTTTTGATAGGATGTACTCCAAATGGGTGTGTTAGTTTTATATCTGATGCATTCGAGGGTTCAATATCCGATCCTGAAATATTTAAAAGATCAAAAATAGCAGACTTATTGCAACCTGGAGATGTGGTATTAGCAGATCGAGGTTTTACCGTTCATGATGTCGTTGAAGCTAAGCGAGCACATTTGAATATTCCTCCGTTTTTGAACGGACGAGACCGTTTAACAGCTCAAGAGGAGATTTTGACGAAGAAGATAGCAAAACAACGAATATATGTTGAGCATGTTATTGGGCGCATAAAAAAATTTAGACTTCTTTCAACGGTTCTACCTTTAAATATGCGTACTATCATGTCACAAATTATATTTGTTTGTGCATGCTTGGTCAACTTTCAAACGCCAATAGTTTTTGATGAATAAAATGAAGACCGGTGTTTTAGGAAATAAAATAAATTGAAAGTCAAAATAATTGTAATATATATTTAAATTTTAAAACACATAACATTTGTAATGTTACAATATATTTAATTTTGTATTTTTTATATTGTAAAAATAGATTTATGAATATTGTTTTTGTTACGAATACCCTTTGTAATATATTGAGGAATATAAAAATAAAAAAAACATGTTGCAAACAGTAGGTTTGGAATTTTTTTATGAAATATATTTCACTTCGATAAGTCAAAAGGTATTAAACGCCGTGGGATTCTCATTTCAAAATACTCTGGAGCCAAAATATTTTGATGGAATGCACTAACGTGCTTAAGTATAGGTTCAATGAAAGTACCATCATAATAAATCTTCTCTACATGGAACCCTTTTGAAGTCCAAATGACAAAATCACACCACACTCTTTCAGTTATTGCCATTTGAGTTTGTATTTGATAGTAATATGGGTGATTTCGTTTTAACTTCATGCATGTTGTACTAACAGAAGTACAACAAAATGAAGTACGCTGCTGTGGTGTCAGGAAATGTAAGTCTGTTGGGTTAAAATTTTCTAAGATTTTTGGGCACTTGATTTCCAATACTCCGGTTGTATTCCTCAATGGATCCAAAATTAAGCCATCTGGCGATGCGCCTAATCCTGGGTACTTGGAATTCACCCACAAGCCACTATGAACTTCATAAGAAAATTTTTTTGAAGTAAAGTCTTTGTATTTTTGACGTGCAATTTCTTCATTTTCTCTACCGTATTGCATTGCTTCAGTCGTTATATTTTGTTGGACCCACAGCTGAGAATTGACTAGAGCAAAAATTTGGTCATTTGTTTTATCAGTCTTAAGTTGTTTAATTTTTGAAGCTGTTATCAATATTTTACGATATTGCCACCACTTATCATCATCACTTTGAACTCCTAAAGTTATATCAACAGGCCCAATCCTGTTATTGCACACATTAGTCGTTAGACGATAAACTAATGTTTTTAACTGACTTTTTTTCGGTTTATCTAATATATAATCTTCATATTGCGGCTGTAGTAACAATTGCCACATAGTAGGAGCTTTTCGACTAGCATTTATTAATTGTAAGTCAGATAGTAAATTATTTATTTTTTGTTTGTCTACAGGTCTTGTCAAACTTCGTCCAGGATCATATGACCTGCGTTTACTGATGTCATTTTTATTTTTGTATTGTTGCTTATCTGCTTTGTGAGGTTCTTTTCTTTTTCTACCTTGATTCCAGCTACATAGTTTACTTGTACAAGGTACATTATCTTCATCACATGCATCCAAATAATTTAATAAAACATATAGCAAAGCAACTACATGAGAACACCGGTCCATACTCGATGCTTTGCAATCACAAGTACCATGAATTACTCGGGTAGTTGACGGATTGATCATAACTGAAACTTGATGAACTTCTTTAGCTTTATAAGAAGCTTTAATTTTGCATTTTAAGCAAAACATTTGATCAAATGTTACGTCTTCAAGAATTTCAAATACATGGCCGCTATCCACATACTGTTTGCCTCGTTTCAATGGTTTGGATGTACTGTAATCAGCTTTTGGATTGTGGTTTTCAATGTCACTATCACTATTGTTGTCGTCTATGCATGATGTCACTAGATAATGATATATAGATCCATAGTTGAAGTTTTTGGGCACTTTGTCAGAAGGAAATGGTTGCCAAATGTTAGGATAATTTATTATTTGACTTCGCAAAAGATTTGGACTTTGATTGTGTGTACCTAAGATATTTTGCCATTTTCCTTTGTCAGTAGTTTGGTCCACTGGTACATTGTTCCTAATGGCATTTTTGACTCTGTAAATTTCATAATATTTTTATATATTAGTTCATATTAAAATTTTTATTTATAATCACAACGACATATAAAATTCTGTATTTTAAATTGTCTAATTAATAATGCCATGTATAGCCTCAAAATATTAATGATTTATTTTATAAAAATGTAAACTATTATTTTTTTTATAAGTCTCTAGATAGTAAACAAATATCAATGTCTAACCTCTCAATCAGCTCACTTTTATTCCCTTTTTGCGGTCGTCCATGACATTTTAGCCACCTTCTCAATTGTTCACAATTATGAGCTTCAACTGAATCATAAATAAGTGAAGCACCATCGATGGTTGTTTCTAATAATTTATTAATTTTTGGAGATAATATCCCTTTCCCAGCTATTGTCGATCAAAACAGTACGAAACTTTTGAATGACATGATGAAAAGATCTATGTAGATGTAATAAACAAACGCTCTAGACTTTATTTGGTCACGTGATAAAATGTCAATGACAAGTTAGAAGTTTATACTTATTAAATTTGACTTTTGAGACTACAAATCAACCTAAATTTGAAATATAAACAAAAATTAAACAAACTAATCACTTTTATATTTATGCTAGCATAAACAAAGGATAAATTGACAAACAAGGCTTCACATAACACTTAATTTCTGGCATGGAACGAACATCTCATTCCAAAACGAGATGTAAAAAATTTAATCTGAACAGGTACATCTGGGATAAAAAAACAAAAAACGCTCGAGATGTAAAAAATGCATCCGATGTGGATTCTCAAACGCGGCATTGTTAAGTCACAATTACTTGACAATGCATATCTACTAATTAATCTCCTCTATTTTTCAACTTCTAGATAATGCTAAATTTTTCAGAATTTATCGCATGCGCAATTTAGATATTTTTTCGCACTAATTGTCAATTTAGAACTCAATTACTTACTCTCTATATTATAAATTTTATATTAATGTATTATGTGAATTAAAACTAAATGTGATTTTATGGTGATAAACCCAGGTGAGTTACAACGAAAGATTAAATAATATTTTGAACTTTCTTGACTTTCACA